AATGTAAAAAAGTATTAAAGTTAAACTGATCAAGACCAAGCAGCAAACTGGCTCAAATGGATTATTAATTATTAGCCTTATTTCCTTATTAAGGCTCAAATCTCAAAATGTCCTGAATTCAGTTTTCAGACAATCATTAGTATTATTATTACACAACCCCTAATTATCAATGACATTGCTCCATAGACTGCATCATAAATATCAATCAGCGGTTCTTCTTGTCTCTTTTAGTTGCACAATGTGCCAGTTTAGCTCTCCTTCCAGAAAACTTTCAATGAAATCCTTTTTTTTATTATAATCCTAAATCCTTTGAGTACAAACCAATTAAGCATATTTAATCCCTCTATTTAAAGCACAAATTGAAATCCTAAAAACAAGAGAAACTTGTGGAAACGGCAGTATAGATAGCAGAAATCATGAAGTAACAGCTGTAGTGTCCCTGAAAGAACTGGGGTTCACATTAAAAGAAATCCCTCAAACAGGCTGTTATATAAAAAGGGGAAAATGAACGGCTAACTGGCTACGTTGATGATAAAAGCCTGGAAGAACGAAGGTAAAGTAAGTATTTGGAGTCATTTCTGTATGTGCTGTAAATTGCAGAGCCAAGGAGTGAGGTTGCCGGCTGCCGGGCCACCTGCTACTACAGTTCTGAGTTTGAGAAATGGCCGTGATGTCTTCCATCGGCTATTTTCACACCCTCCCTCCCCCCTCTCTCTCTCCCTCTCCCTCACTCCCTGTTCATCTCTTTTAGTGAGACAGACAGCGTCGAGGCTGAGGACGCATTTGATGCTCAGCCAAGGAGAGAAATATTTCACCGAGACCGATGACAGCGTGGACACCTCCAGCTGGCGAAAACACAAATGGGTCGATACACTGATTGGCGTGTAGCTGCCGAGTCACGGGTCAGGTCCTCCCTCTGACGGACTGAGACAAATCCATCAGGAAAGACCACATACTGATACTATATAGGTGCTGGCTGGGGAGCCTCACGCCAATTTACATTTCTATACTCATTCTCACTTCTGCTAGGATCAGCACAAGATGGAAAAGGAATGAATTAACGTCTGTTTTTAGGAGTTGAATGGATTTATCAGTCCAACAATATTTGCTTGAGAGTGAATTATTTTAGTGGTTCCCAACCTTTTTCCTCTTTTTTTCCCCTATCATTCTATCATTTATTAAACTGACTAAGAGACATATTTTCTGGATATTTTCATATAATATTCAAAACTGTAGAATGAACCCAAACAGTGAACTGCAGGAAGTTTGTGTAAAATAAGTGATTTAGATGATTTTTGAGCAGATTTTTTTCCTGTTTTATACAATTCTTTGTCTGTATTATGCTTTTTTTTTTCATCATTTTTAACAATGATACAGACAAATTCACTGTTTTTGATGTCCCTGATGCTTGATCATAGTTCTATTAGACAATTTACTTCACAGAAGTGAACCAAATGCTGAGATATAGGCCAATTCATTGTTAATTGAATCTGATATATTTGAACTGATAATAGCTACAATATTCAATCAAAACTATTCGTAATGATCAACAATCCATAATCTTTATCTGACACTGGTCAGGGCTGCAGCCAACCATTGTTTCTAATATTGGCTATTTCAATTCATTCATTGTTTAGTCTATAAAACATACCTGCCAGCATTTCAGTTTTCCCACGGTTTATCCCGTAATTCAAGGCCAAACTCACATCATTTTCACAGCCCTCAAACTGATGTATGAATACTCATCATACAAGGATTGTATGTTCGTCTGACATCACCCAAGTTGCCAGAACGTCTATGAAACACAATGTTGTCAAAATGTCAGGGCAGGATGGCGTTTTACCTAAAAAATCTACATCTGGCAGATTTGGATTGAACAGTTTCCTTTTATATCTGCAAGTCATCAGGTGTGTCCGTGCCATTTGTCAACCCTGTAGAGTTCACATTTACACCACCAGCCCCACTGTATTGTTATACATTGTCAGAAAGTCCTGAGTAACTCCTTCAAATAGTTTGTTTTATCTAATCAACAGTGAAAAAAAACTAAAGATACTCAATTTACAGTAACTGCAAACAGAGAAAAGCAGCAAATCTTCACTTTTGTGAAGCTGGAATGAGTATTTGTCGCACTTTGCTTAAAAAAATAGCAAAAAATACTGGATTTGCTGCAATTACTAGAAATAATGCAACATTACGGTCAAACCTGTAGCTAAAAGTTATTCTCAGTTCAGCTATGGCTGGGAAATGAGGGGATATTGAAGAATTATGGTGTATTTTTTTAAAGACATGTTTAGCTGTGCTCATATTGAGGCTAAGCAGGGATGATGAATTTTTGCCAGTTGCTGAGTTCATTCAACACATTTTAGAGTGACAGATCTGGACTACTAACCCTGTTGGATGGAGTACCGCCGCACAAATTAGGTTGTCACAGCATCAAGTCTTTTTTAAATTCAGGATTAATAATTCTAATAACTCCTAATTAACCAATCATAATATTCCCACAAAATCCTTCAAATCTGAACCCAGGAAAGCTACAATTCCAGCATACAGTCCAGTCCAGGACTCTCACTTTTATAAAAAAAGATTGCTCATGCATGGGCTGCAGTTATAGCGTGTGTTTTAATTTGTTAAAGGTTTTAAAATAAACTGGAGCGGAAATTATCTCATGCAACTTCAGTGAAACAGGCCGCAGTTGTCAACTGTTCATAGTGTAAATAATCCAGGCAAAAAAAAAAAGAGAGAAAGGAAATGTGCACAAATGAATTAAAATGAACAGTTGTCTGTAGGCGTCGTAGTTCAGTTGATAAGCACGTTGGCCATCGCTACAAAGACTGGTGGTTGAATCCCATCCTCTTCCTCCTCTGAGTGTCTTCGGGCAAAGACTGAGCTGCTCCAGGTGTGTGTGTTTAGGAGAAGTCCCTCTGGATAAAAAAGTGTCTGAATCTCGTTCATAATCTAACAATAAAGAGCTCATCAGCAGTGTAAGCCAACCAAATCTTAATGCAAAAGTTTTCCACAAAAAGTTCAGACCAAACATAAGGAGCTGTAGGTGTGATTATTCTCACCATATGCTCTCAGTCTCTACAGAAACAAAAAACACACCAACACAGCCTTAAAGCCTCTGCTCTTTCTCCAGAGGAAAGTGAAGTGAAAACACCAGGGTGGTTTGGAAACAAGAGCCCAGTCCTCGCTAATGTATGGGGACTCTAAAGCAGCTTTGAGCTCAATTCTCTGTGGAGAAACCTTGGCTTGCTAATTCCCACTTTAAGGACAGCCTTCGATAGTTTCTCTTCCAGTCATTCTCCAGAAAATGTCCCCAAATGTTGCCAAATAAATAGGCTTTGATATTCCTACACGCCTTATCCCTGACTGGCAAGCTCGCAGTCTTTAAAAAGGGAGCGTGGCGTTGGTGCGTCTGACAGCTGAGCGGGACCCTGTGATGCCGGTAACGACATGAGGGATGACAACAGAAGCTCCGACATCAAAGCCCTGCAGCACTGACACACACACACGCATATACATATTTGCAGCAGATTACCGAGGCCAGTTATTCATCAGTTCTTCCACGAGCCGGGTTACAAGTCGGAACACCCATACACACACAGTGCAGCTCCGAAATGACTCCCGCAGCTCATTTGTATACGAAGAAGAAAAAAAGAGTGCGCCTCTCAGCATCCTATCGACACTCACTTAAGATAATGGGGCCTGTTGGGTTGGATATAGATTGGAGAATGAATCTGAGAGCTTCTGTATAACGGTGGATGGGCAGGCAAGGCAGATAAAAGGGACTCTACAGTACCCGTGGTGGCAATTTGTCAGGATTAAAGTGTGTGTGTGTGTGTGTGTGTGTGTGTGTGTGTGTGCAGTTGTCGCAGTGTCAGGTGTTGTTCATTAGCCCGAGGTTGACAGGGAATCAGAGCGCTGATCTGTGAGTGATCTGTGAGGTCATCTGAGGCTGCGCTTTCATCCTGTGCATCCTCTGCACCAAGTCTCCAGCAGCATTGTTTTCTTGATCAATTAATATGTTGATTTTAATTGATTAATCATTTGGTTTATACACAAAAATGAAAGATGGGTCCAACCAGCAGTCTAAAACCCCCAAATATCCAATTCACAATGATATAAAACACAGAAAAGGAGCAAATGATCGACTGATGATCGATTATCAAAGTTGAGGTCAACTAATTATCTCTTAATAGATTAAATCAATAGTTTAAACAATTGAGTATTTCTGCATTAGTCTCATGTAGTGCAGTTAGATATGTTGCTATCATCTAGTCTTAAAGGGTCAGTTTTAATCACTGAAACAATTAGACGATCAATCAGTCGATGGACATACATACATGGACAAACAACTTTCATTATCTGATTAGTTGATAACATTTTCTGGTTCCACAGATTTGCTGCTTTTCTCTGTTGTATATGATTGTAACTTCTTTGTTTTTGAAAACATTTGAAGACGTCTCCTTTAGTTCTCCGAGTTTGTGATGGACATTTACAGACTAAACCCCAAAATAACTACAATAAAATGTCACAAGAACAACATTTAAGAAGCTAAACAGCAGCTGTTCTTTTCAGAGTCTGAATCCTGCTTACTGCTTCAATCACAGACCTTTCAAAAGACTCAAATAGATCCGGTGTTGTGCTCATTCACAACATCAGGACAAGTGGAGAAAAAAATTGAGCTGATCGGAGATTTGAAAGATGTTGGCGTCATCTAACCTGTGCCAGAGCCAGAAAAACGGCAAACCCCGACAAGCTTGGATAAGGTCAACACAGCCGTGCGGGTTGTCGTAGCTCGACTTACTGGAATAACAACTTTTATATCGACATATTTTGTTAAAATCGACACTACAGCTTGTGAGTCGACTGATTAACAGCCAATATTAGCACAATGTCAGACTGCAGTCGACCGGAGGAAGAGGTTTACACAAACAACAATGTTATAGGTTTAGTGTGAGCAGGACCGTGGGTGGAAAAAAAAGAAATAAAGAACAGACCTGGAGAGCCTCATGTGATCGTCTCTACCTCCACATCAGCTGAACAACGGTGCCCTCCGACCTGCACAGACATCAAACACACACCATCACTGACAAACCTGTGATTACCTCCCTCTCCATCTCCAACACTACTCTCTCGTCTCCCTCTTTGAACCTCCGCTCACATTCACTCACATGTTGCGAGATACAAGAGCCCTGCAGCGGAGAGAACGAGAAGGAAAAAGACAAATGGCAAACATAAAAACACACAGACGTACATACTATACACAGCGGACACGCCTGACCTTCAGCAGAGTCTCCTGAGGCCAAACATGTGACAGCCTACCTGTGTTCAAGCAAAGATCCCCGACGGCCTTCCGCTCATTCTTTCAAGCTACCTCTAATGAAATTGGTTCAGCTTCACAATACTCCCTTTCTGAGCCGATTCTGCCGCTGGACGGGGCCGATCGAAAAGCCGCAGGTAAAAAAAACAAACAAAAAGCAATTGGTTTCCACAAAGCCGTCAGACCTTCAGCTGACAGAGAGCTGTTATGGTAGTGGTCAACAACACACAGCCGACATTAAAGAAACATCTAAACCTTAGTACAGACAAAGGACATACTGTCCTTCCTGTCCGCTGGGGTAAGGAATCATGTTGATATTATGCAAATAGATTTCCTTCAGTTTTTAAACCAGTAGTTTCCTCTTTACACGCTGTGACATGAAGCCATTGTGTCAGATGAATTCATTACTGGAGCTGTCAGAGGAAGCTCATTAAAAGACCAAACGGGAATCACCACATCTGAGTGTTACAGCCACTGAGGAAGAGCTGAAAGGTTCACAAATCTGATCAGTCAAGGAATCTGCACCAAGCTTAAGGGAGTTAAAGGACGCAGTTAAAGACAACTATTGATAAAATGATCCATCAGGTAGTCGTTGGCAAGAATTTGGATAATTAATTTAACATCTAAGTACATTTTTGGGTAATCAATTCTCAGGTTCCAGCTTTTCTAATGAGAGGTTTCACTTCTTTTTGCTGTTTGCGGTTTTTGGACCAGACAAAAGACATTTGAAGACGTCACAAACCTGATTTAATCCATTAACTGATAAATAATTCAACAGGTTAATCTATAAAATAATTCTTAGTGGAACCAGTACTTCAGTTCATTATAGGATAAATGACAAAAGTTCTTTTGGGTTCAGCTTTTAGCCTAAAAAACGCTTAACTCCTTATGCTAAAAGTGATATGCTAAACTTTAGCATATTACTTTTACATGAATTCTAGAAAGCTTAAGAAAATGTTAACTTAAGTAAGTTGCTTTTAGATTAATACTTAAGTAGCAAAATAACATACTGAACTTTAGCATGTGGCTTTAACGCTAGAATAGCATACTAAAATGCAAAACTTTAGTATGTTGCTCTCAGATTCATGATAGAATATTACATTGCTAAACTTGAATAACATACTAAATGTATATTATTGTGAATATTGCTCTGGAATCAATTGATTTTAAGCCTTCAAACTCATATCTCGTATTCTAGAAAATACAAGGTCAATGAATTATCTACACAATGAGCTTCATTTACTAATTTCCTCTCTTCTGATGAGTGTCTAGGTGCTGTTTTTGACAACCATGGTTCCATGAAGAACACATTAATGCTTAAAGAGGGTTACGTTTGGTGTCGTGTCGGCTTTACTGACAGCTGTCTCCGTCTATCACCCTCAGCACTGGTGGTTGCCACTTGCTCAGCTTTAGTTCAGCCAAATTTTGAACTTCTGCCTGAAGCGGCTGACAAAATGGTGTTGAGTGTAAACTTCAAAAAGTCCTTACTGAGGTCTAAAGGCGACGTAATGGATACTGCATTGATATTTGTCTGCAGTCGATGTTACAAAGTTGTGTGTATTATTTGTAAGAAGTAGCCTTTTTACATAATTTCAATCTTGGCTTGTGCTGACTTAAATACTGAAATAATCTCTCACAGCTGCCAAAGAAATAACAGACTTGAAAGTGTTTTGGTTTCGCTGCATCTTTCCATCACATTTACACATCACACTGTTCTCTGACAGCAGCACAGGTGTGGATGGACTCTGGTGAGTAAAACGATGCTACAGTAACACCTGGTGTAGCATTGTGCACAGTAACCTAAATGTTAATGACTTGAGCAGTTGGTGGGCAAATTGACAGGATAACAAGCTCTGATGAGGCCCGCGGAGTTAATCAATGCCAGTGACATCCGATGAGATAGTCGTAAAAGGACCAGACAAAGACGCAGTCAATGGGAGGCAACGAGGATCCAGAGCACAGTCAATGAAGAGCACAATGCAAACTCAGCAAGTGAGAGCCGCACAGCCTCCGGCATCAGGGGGAAAAGAATCCAGTTTTACAGGGTCAATGTCGAACGAAATACACCAACTCCCCTGTGCAAAAAAAAACAAAACTGTAGTGCTCTTCAAATGCAAGCAGATGGGAGAGCAGTTTCACAGCAGGAGCGTCGGTGTGCTACAGAGGTCATAAATCAGCCGCTTGGCATCGTGTGTCGTCAGTCAGGCAGCAGAGTCAGACTCCGGGCGTGTTTCAATCAACAGGCCAACAGACACGCTGACAGCACGAGACGCACAAAACCGAAGCCGCCCAAGGACTACGACCGGCTCAACTGAGAGACGAGAGAACGGAAAGAACGACATATATCAAACTTTTAAAAGGGGAGGACAGAGACAACACTGTGAATGAACTTCTAAAAAGAGAAACGACATATGCAAATCCAGCCTTCGAGTTTGGGGGTGTGGGTCATATGCCTCAAGAGCTCATAATCATGGCAGCTTTAACACGCCGTCACACATACAGTACAGTACAAAGGCCCATGAATATTCTCTCTTTGTCTCTATCAGTCCCCTCCAAACGCCCTTTGCTCCCTCTGTCTGAACTCTGCCGCCTCAAAGCTGTGTGGTCACATCTGATCAAAGAGAAAGAGGATTACTGACTTGGCCATTAGATTATCAGGAGAGGGGAAAAAAGGATAAAGCTAGGAAAAGAAAGAATTGGTGAAGTTCAAAGTTCATTTTTGACCTTGGCTGACAAAACAATCTCTCCACAAGGTCCATTTAGAAATTCTGTAGCTTTCAACTGGCTCAATATTGGCTTAAAAACTGAGATTGAAAATAAACTCGACCATTTGTCCCAGTGCTGATCGGAAGTCATTTCTGGACACAACCAAGTGTTCAGAAATAATGAACTTTCGACAAAGTTCGACAACACACCAGGAAGATGTGATTGAGAGCTCCAGTACTACTAAATGGACCTTGTGGTGAGATTGTTTTTGTCAATAATTGGTGAAATTTACACTATCATCAAAACTGCACTACAGGAGTGTCAACAATATGTTTGTAATTTAGAAAACAATGTGGCTGTTACAGTAGATAGTTTATCCACCAAAGAGTAAAATGTCCTGTTCGGTACATATATAAAAAAAACAGATTTAAGCGAAATTTACCAAAAATATACAAACAAAAAATGGCCCACAGATCATCAGATATGGAATCAGGGCTCGAACAACAAAAGGACGAAGAATCTGACTTTAAAATAGCCGATCTGGACCTTTCCGTTCATAGCACATGACCTTCATCAGCAGATTCCAGTAACTTTTTACCCAACAAGAAGTAGCCTGGTAATCTGACTGTAATGCTATTTAGTTTCACTTCACTCATTTTACTGTTTTGTTCAGTATCTGTTGACATTTTCACTTGATACGATGTTTAAAAAGTTTACTTGCAACAACTTGTTCAACTGTGTGAAGATGACGTCCTAATTCTTAATCCACAGTAGAAAGCTCTGACTGGAGTGTAAAATCGCCGTCAATGGGCCAGGAGGCCAACACTAGAAATACTTGAATTACTGAATGATTTGGAGAAGTGAGCAGAGATTTAGATGCCTGAAAGTGCTCAGCCAAAATGTTCATTCAACTATGTACATTTCCATCACAACTGAGCAAACTTTTTTATTTTATTTACTCATTTTATGAGATATAATTGCTTAAAAACCAAGCAACACTAATGGTTTAACATTGGATGGAGTGCTCACTCGCTGAGACCTTTTCCTGTGGGTGAACATGCCCAAACAGACACCAAATTTAATTCCAACAAACAGAGCAAATCTACAAATCTGTCTCAATTAGTGAAGGCTGGACCCATCTTTCGTTCTGCAGTGCCAGTTTGGGATTTAGTTTGATCTAATGGGCATAATTATACATGAAAAGCCTGCCTAGTCCGGTATTAAATAAACAGAGCCATAGCCAATCATTTTGAGGCCAAGTGTGGACATCCGTAGATGCAATCCCATAAAATCCTGCCTTTGGGATTGCAAATATAGCAAGTGCACTGGCGGCCAAAAAAATAAAAATAAAAGATGTGCTCAACTCCTCCAAGAGATCAAGAAAAACAAGCCAATGCCACTTACAGATTGTGTGATTACCAAACCTGCAGCTCCACCAGGCCCCCCGGTTTAACCACTGTTTTCCACTCGTGAATTTTTGGCAACAAAGCTGAAAAAATGATTTATTTTCCAAGAAAAGTGGGGAGGGAAGCGAGGAGAGTGTTTGTTTGATCTGACAGCCAGCTCCTGCTTTCGCTCAGGCCACCCGAGGAGTGGACAGATTATCATCGGCTGTCTGGGAGGAAGCAGAGCTGCAGGATCAGTCCCCAACCCACTGAGGTCAGGCCTCTGGATGCAGATAAAGCC